TTTCTTTGGTTCAAACTATCTTCTAATTTCTTACTAAACTTCCTCTTTGAACCCCAGATTATTTAGAAGTTATTTAATTTCTAAGTGTATGAAACGTTTCTGCCATCTTTTTGTTACCTATTTCTGGTACAATTTCATTACGATCGGAGAACATACTTTGTATTATTTCGATTCTCTGCATATATTTGGTGGCTAGATATGAGATTTTATCTGCTGTACTTAGCCTGGATAGATTTACAAAGGTTGTAGATTAAGTCAGTCTTCAGTTTTGCTAGAAAATGCCAAATTGTTTTTTAAAGTTTGAAAGTAATTGTAACAATTTATTGCATCACTCCCCCCTGCCCCAGAATGGGATACGAATGTTTTATACCCTCCCCAGATGTACTATGTATTTGATTTATTCATTATTTCCTTATTTAATGTTAAACCTTTCTAGTCTTAGAAGACAACCACTAAGGGAACATTTTTCTAATCTTTTTTTTTTTTTTTGAGGTGGATTCTCGCTCTGTTGCCCAGGCTGGGGTGCAGTGGCACCATCTTGGCTTTCTGCAATCTCTGCCTCCTGGGTTCAAGAGATTTTCCTGCCTCAACTTCCCAAGTAGCTAGGATTACAAGTGTGCACCATCGTGCCTGGCTAATTTTTGTATTTTTAGTAGACACAGGGTTTCACCATGTTGGCCAGGCTGGTCTTGAACTCCTGACCTCAGGTGATCCATCTGCCTCAGCCTCCCAAAGTACTGGAATCACATTCATGAGCCACTGTACCTGGCCTCATCTTTTGTGAGTTTTATATCATCATTGGTAATTTAGGGTATCACAGTAAGCATACTGAAGTTGAAAACTCAAGTAGGTTTTGGTTATCATTCCAAATGACTTGAGGTTTCTCATTTGTCATGAAGTTTTGGCTGTGAAGCAGGACCTGGGACTGCCTCTAGCCAGAGTGATTCCACCCATGTCACAGGTGGACAGGTAAGCCCTTTTATGGTTGCTGAAATAAGTCCATATCCTAGAGATGAGATTAGGCTTTCAGCAATATCTACTTCCAATCTTCACAGTTTAAATTATGAAATTCTTTAGTTTTGTATAGGTAAAAGAAATTATTCACCTAATTCTAAGTTTGTACTTACCTTCTCACTGATCTTTTCATTGCCTGATAGAATTCTGCATGAGTTTTAAATTAAAAAAAAATTTTTAAATTGTTTTACATTCTTCCTATCTGACAATGACACAAGTCTTTCATTCAGATTCCACAACCTTAAGTGCTAATGACAAATCTTTTTTAAAAATTTATTTATTTTACTTTAGGTGCGTACGATATCTGGCATTGGTCCCCATGTTATCCCTCCCCACCCGCCCCTCCTTCCTCACCCCCCCGTTGTCTCTCCCCTACCCGCCCCAACTGCACCCAGTGTGTGATGCTCCTCTCCCTGAGTCCATATGTTCTCGTTCAACAGCCAGCTATGAGTGAGAACATCTGGTGTTTGGCTTTCTGTTCTTGTGTCAGTTTGCTGAGAATGATGGTTTCCATATTCATCCAAGTCTCTACAAAGGACACACACTCATCATTTTTCATGGCTGTGTAGTATTCCATGGTGTATATGTACCACATTTTCTTTGTCCAGTTTATCATTGATGGGCATTTGGGTTGGTTCCAGGTCTTTGCTATAGTACACAGGGCTGCAGTGAACATATGTGTGCATGTGTCTTTACAGTAGAACAATTTATAGTTCTTTGAGCATTTTTTTCATGTTTGTTGGCCTCATGTATGTCTTCTTTTGAAAAGTGTCTGTTCATATCCTTCACCCACTTTTGAATGGGGTTGTTTTTTTCTTGTAAATCTGTTTTAGTTCTTTGTAGATTCTGGATATTAGCCCTTTGTCAGATGGGTAGATTGCAAACATTTTTTCCCATTCTGTTGGTTGCCAGTTCACTCTAATCATGGTTTCTTTTGCTGTACAGAAGCTCTGGAGTTTAATTAGATCTCATTTATCTATCTTGGCTTTTATTGCTATTGCTTTTGGTGTTTTAGTCATGAAGTCCTTGCCTATGCCTATGTCCTGGTTGGTTTTGCCTATGTTTTCCTCTAATGTTTTTATGGTGTTAAGTTTTATGTTTAAATCTTTGATCCATCTGGAGTTAATTTTAGTGTAAGGTGACAGGTAGCGGTCCAGTTTCTGCTTTCTGCACATTGCTGGCCAATTTTCCCAACACCATTTATTAAACATGGAGTCCTTTCCCCATTGCTTGTTTTTGCCCGGTTTGTCAAAGATCAGATGGTTGTAGATGTGTAGTGTTTCTTCTGGGGTCTCTGTTCTGTTCCATTGGTCTATGTCTCTGTTTTGGTACCAGTACAATGCTGTTTTGATTACTGTAGCCCTGTAGTATAGTTTGAAGTCCAGCAGTGTGATGTCTCCAGCTTTGTTCTTTTTGCTTAGGATGGTCTTGGCTATGTGAGGTCTTTTGTGATTCCATATGAAGTTTAAAGTGGTTTTTTCCAGTTCTGTGAAGAAAGTCATTGGTAGCTTGATGGGAATAGCATTGAATCTATAGATTACTTTGGACAGTATGGCCATTTCCACGATATTGATTCTTCCTAACCAGGAACATAGAATGTTTCTCCATCTGTTGTGTCCTCTCTTATTTTGTTGAGCAGTGGTTTGTAGTTCTCCTTGAAGAGGTCCTTTATATCCTTTGTTAGTTGTATTCCTAGGTATTTTATTCTCTTTGTAGCAATTGTGAATGGGAGTTTGCTCTTGATTTGGCTCTCTGTCTGTTGTTGGTATATAGGAATGCTTGTGATTTCTGCCCATTGATTTTGCATCCTGAGACTTTGCTGATTTTGGGCTGAGATGATGGGGTCCTCTAAATATACAATCATGTCATCTGCAAATAGAGACAGTTTGACTTCCTCCTTTCCTAATTGAATACACTTTATTTCTTTTTCTTGCCTGATTGCTCTGGCTAGAACTTCCAATACTTTGTTGAATAGCAGTGGTGAGAGAGGGCATCCTTGTCTAGTGCCTGATTTCAAAGGGAATTTTTCCAGCTTTTGCCCGTTCAGTATGATATTGGCTGTAGGTTTGTCACATGCAGCTTTTTATCATTTTATGATATGTTCCATCAATACCTAGTTTAAATGAGAGTTTTTAGCATGGAGGACTGTTGAATTTTATTGAAGGCCTTCTCTGCATCTATTGAGATAATCATGTGATTTTTGTCTTTGGTTCCATTTATGTGATGGATTATATTTATGGATTTGCATATGTTGAACCAGACTTGCATCCCTGGGATGAAGCCTACTTGGTCATGATGGATAAGCTTCTTGATGTGCTGTTGCAATCTGTTTGCTATTATTTTATTGAAGATTTGTGTGTCAATGTTCACCATGGATATTGGCCTGAAGTTTTCTTTTTTAGTTGAGTCTCTGCCTGGTTTTGGTATCAGGATGATGTTGGTCTCAAAAAGAATTAGGGAGGATTCCCTCCTTTTGTATTGTTTGATACAGTTTCAGAAGGAATGGAACCAGTTCCCCTTTGTATGTCTGGTAGAATTCGGCTGTGAACCTGCCTGGACCTGGACTTTTTTTGGTTACTAGACTATTGATTACTGCCTCTACTTCAGCCCTTGTTATTGGTCTATTCAGGGTTTCAACTTCCTCCTTTTTTAGTCTTGGTAGAGTACAAGTGTCTAGGATTTTATCCATTTCTTCCTGGTTTACTGGTTTATGTGAGTAGAGCTGTTTGTAGTAATCTCTGATGGTAGTTTGCATTTCTGTGGGATCAGTGGTGATATCCCCTTTATCATTTTTTATTGCATCTATTTGATTCTTCTCCATTTTCTTTTTTATTAATCTGGCTAGCAGTCTGTCTATTTTGTTGATCTTTTCAAAAAACCAGCTCCTGAATTTATTGAGTTTTTGAAGGGTTTTTTTCTGTCTATCTCCTTCAGTTTGGCTCTAATCTTAGTTATTTCTTGTCTTCTGCTAGCTTTTGAGTTTTTTTGATCTTGCTTCTCTAGCTCTTTCAATTTTGACGATACGGTGTTGATTTTAGATCTTTTTTCTCTTCTCTGGTGGGCATTTATTGCTATAAATTTCCCTCTCAACATTGCTTTAAAGGTGTCCCAGAGATTCTGGTAAGTTGTATCTTCATTCCGGTTGGTTTTGAAGAACATCTTTATTTCTGCCTTCACTTCATAGTTTATCTAGTCGACACTGAGAAGCAAGTTGTTCAGTTTCCAAGTGGTTGTGCGGGTTTGAGTGTATTTCTTGATCCTGAGCTCTAGTCTGATTGCGCTGTGGTCTGATAGACTGTTTGTTATGATTTCTGTTCTTTTGCATTTGCTGAGGAGTGATTTGCTTCCAATGATGTGGTCAATTTTAGAGTAAGGGCAATGTGGTGCTGAGAAAAATGTATATTCTGTGGATTTGGGGTGGAGTGTTCTATATATGTCTATTAGGTCTGCTTGGTTCAGCTCTGCATTCAAGTTCTGGATATCCTTGCTAATTTTCTGTCTCGTTGATCTGTCTAATATTGACAGTGGAGTGTTGAAGTCTCCCACTATTATTGCGTGGGAGTCTAAATCTCGTTTTAGGTCATTAAGAACTTCCTTTATGTATCTGGGTACTCCTGTGTTGGGGGTGTATATGTTTAGGATAGTTAGCTCTTCCTGTTGGATTGATCCTTTTACCATTATGTAGTGTCCTTTGTCTCTTTTGATCTTTGTTGGTTTGAAGTCCATTTTATCAGAGGCTAGGATTGCAACCCCTGCTTTTTTTTGCTCTCCATTTGCTTGGTATTGTAAATCTTCTTCCATTCCTTTATTTTGAGTCTGTGTGTGTCTTTACATGTGAGATGGGTTTCCTGAATATAGCACACCAATAGGTCCTGACTTTTTATCCAGTTGGCCAGTCTGTGTCTTTTGATTGGGGCGTTTAGGCCATTTACATTCATTGTTAATATTGTTATGTGTGAATTTGATCCTGCCATTTTGTAACTGGCTGGCTTTCTTTCCCATTAGTTGACTCATTTTCTTCATTGCATTTTTGGTCTTTGCCAACTGGTTTGCTTTTGCAGTGACTGGTACTTGTTCCTTTCCGTGCTTAGTGTTTCTTTCAGGAGCTCAATGACAAATCTTTAATTCCATCCTTAAAGGATAATTGATCGTGGGCATCTACTGTATTTTATAACCTTTGTAATACAAGTAATGTAATTTTTAGTGCTGAAACCATACTTTAAAGAAAATAATAACAGTGATTAATAGAACTTACTTAGGCCCCTGAATTAATAGGACTGTTGAAATTGTGGTCAGCTTTTAAGATACAGAAGAAAAGTTTTTTTCTTTGGGGATAAGTTATTTTAACTTGAGACATTTTAAATGATGAGAAAACATCTAGCTTTCTTTCTTAACAGTGATTACAATTTAAAGAGGAAGGTAAATACTGAATTAGCTTTATACTTACTTTAAATTGTAAAATAACTTACCATCTATTTAACTTAAAAGTAAGCCACTTATATTATTCAGTTAACAAACTGTCATTCTTTTATGAAAATAATTTTTATAGTAAAAATGCAAATGCAAGCTTATTATGTTAGTTATATTTATTCCTTTTAGTAATATGATTCTACCAAATTTGACTAAAATGTGTTCTAACTATCCCTGTGTTACTCAGAGATATGAGAATTAATTAACCAAACAATTTGAACAAAAATTAAGGTAATAGCCATTTAGAATGCTTCTTGCTAGAATGAAGTTCTGATTTGTGAAGAATATTAATTTATCAGGTAGGGAAGATATATGAAGGCAGAAAAATTATTAAATTGTGACTTACTAAATGTCTACTTAAAACAGAAATTTATAGTAAATTTATAATGTTATATTGAGTTGATTTGAATTATTTGAATCTTATAGTGTGACAGTTTTTTTTCTAAAGTATATATTATTAAAAGCTGAGAAATATTTAAGTGGTTGAAAGTCAGTGAGAAATGTGAAGGAAACTGCTAATGCTACTGGGGAGACAATAGAACTATGTTTATTTAATATTAAGCATTAAACTTCTGAAGATTTTACTGGAAATTTGATTGATTTTTCTGTTACCCAGGGGTATTTTAAGCCCATTTTATGCATCATACCTGGGCTGTACCAAGAGCAGATGGAAAATTCCCAAGGGAACTTTTCTGTTTATTTGTCAATATCTAATTGATTAGTGTATAATTTTAAGATTATAATTCAAGAGGTGAAATGGCTGCTGATTGGAACTACTATTAAGAATTTGCTCATCAACATATAATTTCTTTTTTTTGGATAATCAAAATATGTACTTTACCTTATATAGACTAAAGGTTCTGAAAACATAGGAGATAATTTCTTTTAAAGCTGCACTCAGAATTTTTTTCCTGTGATACTCACATGAAAGTAGTAGTTTCTCTTTTCATTTCATTTGATTGAAATTGAATTGTGGTAGTTTTTGACAAATAAATTAAAATTTTTACTTTTTTTTTTTTAAACCATGGAGAGAACATCAGTATTTTCAAGAAATTAGAGGTTTGAATTTGAAATATTTTTCATATATGAAGCAATCCATCAATCTTTGTTTATGGAATCTTCAGAACATCAGAGTTGCGTGTTTTCAAGTTAGAGAAAAATGGATACACTGAATCCTAGCAACTGAAAGCAAATAGGCGTACGTCAGTATCTGTGTATAGTGCTGACACTTATGTCAGCACTTTGTCCTTTTCGCTTGGGAGCTCTTGTTTAGTAGTGTGTTTACAATGAGGTCTTTCAGTGGAGCAGGGCTACATGACTGAATGTGTGCCCTGTATTGTCTGAGTACATTCTATTTACAAACTTTAAGATATGTGTATAGACATCTGTTATTGACATTTAGTCTGTGTTTATTTCTCGAAAGTGTTTTATTTGTTCATTTTTGATAACTAGCACTTGTCCATTCACTTTTTATTTCTAATTTCCGTGTCTTTGTGTAGGTCACTGAGTGTGATTCCAGGTAAGTTATTACCGCTAGATCCATGTGGCTCATCAGCCACATATTTGTTTTTTGTTTGTTTGTTTGTTTTGAGGCAGTCTCGCTCTGTCACCCAGGGTGCAGTGCCGTGGCATGCTCAGCTCATGCAACCTCTGCCTCCTGGGTTCAAGCGATTCTCCTGCCTCAGCCTCCCGAGTAGCTGAGATTACAGGCTCCCACCACTATGCCTGGCTAATTTTTCTAATTTTAGTAGAGACGATGTTTCGCTATGTTGGCTAGGCTGGTCTTGAACTCCTGACCTCAGGTGATCCAACCTCCTTAGTCCCCCAAAGTGCTGGGATTACAGGCATGAGCCACTGTGTTCGTCCCACATATTTGTATTGCTTTAGAGAGGGAAGTTCGTGAAATTAAAGGTGGAATAATCTGGATTTGTTGTAACTCCTGTGATTACATTGTGCTTTAGTTTTCTGAACAGATATGATGAAAACTATCTCTAAGAGTTTAAAATATATTGCCAGGTGTTAAAATAAAGTTCAAAGTACTCCCAAGTGTTATGGGAATTTGTCTATTTCTTGGGAAGAGGGGTAGAAGTTATCTAGGTGGAAAAGCCCAGTGCGCAATTTGAAATGTTAGATTTGGAGCTTGGAAAGAGAGAATAAGGCTAGAATTATATTTTAGAAGTTACTCATTATATTTTATTGAAGGCCTAATGTATATCCTTCAAGATTGAGGTTCTGGAATTCATGCAGACCACACTACTAGCATCCCCCTTACTTGTGGAATTCATAGTCTAGTTACTAGATTCTAGAAGGAGGATAGGATTGTTTTCTTAGAAGGTCATAGTTGAAGCTTGGGAATGGATGAGACTGAAAAAAAAAAGAGTGTAGTTATGATTATCTACGAACAATTAAGGAAACAGTGACTTTGGAAAATACATTATGTAGCTTTTTAGGAGAAAGACAAAGACTGTGGGGGAAGTACCTATGTTTAGTAATTGGCATGATGAAGAGTCAGTGAAGAAAAGAGGGTCAGAGTGTCAGGCTATGGGAGATTTATCATTAAGCTAATTAAATTTAAGTTCCAGATTTGTCACTTACATAAATGCCTTTCCAGTCTTTGGGAGGAAGGCTTTTACATGGGCATATGTTTCTCTAGGATTTCCAAAAATAAGGCATTTTAAAATTGTGATTTCTTTCCTTTTGACTTACTCTCATGTCATATAGAGTGGCTGCAGGCATTTTAGGGATCCAGCTAAGGGGAATTTGAATTGGATTTACATTTAGTTTCAGTGACATATATTTATGTGGTTCATGTCACTTCTGAATGTAGTTTAGCTGTTCTGATATAGGAACTATATCAAGGAATACTATTATTTCCCGCTATGTTAACAGTTAGTGTTGTGACACAAAGATGCAAGGCTAAAGATTACCTGGTGATAGGAACATGTCCTGTAGTGCATCACATTAGAAGTATTTGGTAGGATAAGAGAAACAAAATTTGAAATGCACAGGGCCAGAAGCTAGTCTGGGAAAAATTCTTCCAAATCTAAATGAAAAAAACTATATGAGTTTCTTTAAATTTGACAATACTAAAATTTTATGACATGACCAATAATAGTTTGTGAAGACTATTTTGTAAAATATAAATAACAATTTAGTCTTTTGAAAATAAAAAAAATTCTCTTATAGAAAAACTTACATATAATTGTAATATGAAGAGGTGATAACAAAAGTTATACAAAAAATATATAGAAGTATTCTAGAAGTGTTTCAGGGAGTTTATTGATTATTGTTATTTTTCTGGATTCTTGTGATGTTTATGCTGCTGTGATTTTTTTTCTCATTCTAAATAAGCACTCACCTTTGCACCTAAGTTTATATTTGTAATTTTGCTTCCCTTTTTTTTTTTAAAGAGGACCCCCTAAATTCTATAAGGTTCAGGCCCAACAATACCTGGGAGGCACAGAATCATGGAAGTTAAGAGGAAACAAATTACAGATGGAGAATATGTACTGTTTTAAATGATGCATATTGGGGTAGCTAAGGAAGGCAGTTGCATTTGGCGATTCAGGGATTACTGATAATCTTCACCAATTAGTATGAATTTGGGAGTGGGAAATGGAGGTTGTGTACTTTTTAAAGAAAGTGCAGTAGAGTCCAAGAACAGTAGCTTTTGAGGAAAGCAAGTTCCAGGGAAGTTTTTTTGTATTTGTATGCGTGCATGCTTCAGCCTTAGGTGGACATCTAAATATGTTAAAGGAAGGGAAAACATGCAAATAGCACAGAAGGAAAAATTAAAGGTAATAACAAGAGAGGTTAAATCAGCGCAGAAATAATGATGAGAGCAGAAAGGGAAAAGGAAATGAGATCAAGACATAGGAGTGCACTAAATAGTGGAATTCAATGAAGGTGATTTAGTTGTTTCTGTATTAGCACTGTGCTAGTGCTGGGTGCAATAATTGGTTTTCATAATGCTGTAATTTTTCTGTAAATCATAACATTGTATTGCTTAGTTCACTAATATAATACAATTTATAAAGATTTGCATTTGGATGTTTAAAATGAAATGTTTCATGACAATAATGGAAGATAATTATGTAATTACTTGAATATGTTAAAATTAATCTTCCAGAATTTTTTGACTCTATAAACTGAATTGCCCCAAATCAGCTTAAAGATACTGTCAAGTCTTTTGCTAGTAAGTTATGTAAACTAATTAATAGAAAATACATGAAATAATGTTATTTTCTATAAATGGTATGGAAAGAGGTACAGACTTGAGTATCAGGTAGGATATTTATTATTACTTTTTCCATTTAATTCATCAAAATGTATTGAGTGTTTATTATATGCCAGGTGCAGGTCTAGGTGCTGGGGATAGAGCAATGAAAAACACAAAATTTGTGCCTTCATGAAATTTACATTTTAGTGGGAGAGACAGAATATAAGCAAATAAGCACATAGATACATATTGTCAGATAGTAATGTGTGTTATGAAGAAAAATAAGGGAGAGTAGGGCAACAGAGAGTTGTATAGGATGATATTTCAGATAGTGTGGTAAGGAAAGGCAGGTAGGACACTTGAATATGGCTTTTTGCCAGTGTATTTAGAAAACTACTTTATTCAAGTCAAATTGTGTTTACTAAGATCAAACCATTTACAATTTATTTATTTTTTACGGCTTATGAACAGAATTTTATTTAAATTTGTATAGATAAAAATCTACCAAAATTTAAACAAAAACTTATCCAAATGTTTTCCCACCATTTATAATTTAACAGGAACAACATCTGCCTACCTCAAGTTTCACATCTGAAACTACTGATTTATAGTAGTACCAGGCTGGGTGTGGTGGCTCATACCTGTAATCCGAGTACTTTGGGAGGCTGAGGTGGGAGAATTGCTCTTGCCCAGGAGTTTGAGACCAGCCTAGGCAAGATACTGAGACTCCCCTTCTTTACAAAAATAAATAATTAAATGTTAGCCAGGCATGGTGGTATGTACCTGTAGTCCCACCTACTTGAGAGGCTGAGGCAGGAGGATCCCTTGAGCCTAGGAATTTGAGGCTGCAGTAAGTTATGACCATGCCACTGCTCTCCAGCCTGGGTGACAAAGCAAGACCCTATCTCTAAAAATGATATATATCATAATAATAGTATCTACGCCATAGGTTTGTTGCATGGTTTAAATAAGATTGTGTAAGACTGTTTTGGTGCAGTGCCCCAGCTCTTCACTTTATGTGAAGTATGCCTGTAAAAGGGAATAAAAATTCACTATATTATGTTTCACAGATATTGTGTTTTTCACAGATTGAAGGTTTGTGGCAACCCTGTGTTGAGAAAGTCTGTTGGCACCATTTTTCCTACAACATATGCTCACTTTGCATCTTCGTGTCACATTTTGGTAATTCTTGCAAAAATATTTAAAATTTTTTATTACTATATCTGTTATGGCTATTTGTGATCAGTGATCTTTTAGTTACTATTGTAATTGTTTTGGGGCACCACGAACCACTGCACCTGGAGAAGAGAGCAAACTTAATTGATAAATGTTTTTATCCATCTGGCTGTTCCCCTATCTTTCTCCCCTGTCCTTGGACCTTCCTATTACCTGAGACACCGCAGTAATGAAAATGGGCCAATTAATAATCCCAAAGTGGCCTCTTAGTGCTTAAGAGAAAGGAAGAATTGCACATTTCTTACCTTAAATAAACAGCTAGAAATGATCGAGCTTAGTGAAGAAAGCATGTGGAAAGCTGACACAGACCAAAAAGCTAGGCTTCTTGCAACAAACAGTCAAACTATGAATGCCAAGGAAAAGTTCTTGAAGGAAACTAAAAGTGCTTCTCCAGTGAATGCAAAAATGATAAAAAACAAAAAACAAAACAAAATAAAACAAAATGACCAGCCTTACTGCTGATATGGAGATGTACGAGTGGTTTGGATAGAAAATCAAACCAGTCACAACATTTCCTTAAACCAAAGCCTAATCCAGAGCCAGGCCCTAACTCTCTGCAATTCCCTGAAGGCTGACAGAAGCAAGGAAGCTGCAGAAGAAAAGTTTGAAGCTAACAGAGGTTGGTTCGTGAGATTTTAGGATAGCAACTATCTCCATAACATAAAATGCAAGGTGAAGCAGCAAGTATTGTTGGAGAAGCTGCATCAAGTTTTCTAGAACATCTAGCTAAGGTAATTGGAAGATGGTTGCATTAAACAACAGATTTTCAATGTAGGTGAATCAGCCTTCTATTGGAAGAAGATGCCATTTAGGACTTTCATAGCTAGAGAGGAGAAGTCAATGCCTGGTTTCAAAGCTTCAAAGGCTAGGCTGACTCTCTTAGAGTCTAATGTAGCTGATGACTTTAAGTTGATGCCAGTGTTCATTTCCCATTCTGAAAATCCCAGAGCCCTTAAGAATTATGGTAAATCTATTCTACTTAAGCTCTGTAAACAGAACAAAAAAGCCTAGAAGAAAGCACATCTCTTTATAGCAGAGTTTTCTGAATATTTTAAGTCCACGGTTGAGATCTACTGCTCAGGAAAAAAGATTCTTTTAAAAATATTGCCGCTCATTGACAGTGCAGCTAGTCATCATCCAAGAGCTCTGATGGAGATATACAGGGAGATAAATGTTGTTTTCATGCCTGCAAACATAACATCCATTCTGCAGCCCATGGATCAAGGAGTAATTTTGACTTTCAAATTTTATTAGTTCAGATTTACATCCCATAAGGCTATAGCTGCCATAGATTCCTTTGATGGATGTGTGGAAAGTAATCGGAAAACCTGGAAAGGATTGACCATTCTAGATGCCATTAAGAACATTTGTGATTCATGGGAGGAGATCAGAATATTGACATTAATAGGAGTTTGGAAGAAGTTGATTCCAACCCTTATGAATGATTTTGAGGGGTTCAAGACTTTAGTGGAGGAAGTAACTGCAGATTTGATGGAGATACCAAGGGAATAAATAGAGCCTGAAGATGTGACTGAATTACTTCAGTCTCATGATAAAACTTGAATGAATGAGGAGCTGCTTTTTATGTATGAGAAAAGAAAATGGTTTATTGAGATGGAGTCTACTCCTGGTAAAGATGCTGTGAACGTTGTTGAAATGACAACAAAGGGTTTACATAAACTTAGTGGACAAAGCAGTGGCAGCATTTGAGAAGATTGACTCCAATTTTGAAAGAAGTTCTACTGTGGATAAAATGAAGCATTGCATGCTACAGATAAATTCTTCCTGAGGTCAATAGATGTGGCACACTTCACTGTTGTCTTAAGAAATTGCCACAGCCACCTCAGCCTTCAGCAACCACCACCCTGATAAGTTAGCAGCCATCAGTATTGAGGCAAGACCTTCTTCCAGCAAAAGGATTACAATTTGCTGAAGGCTTAGATGATCATTAGCACTAAAGTGTTTTTAGATTAGGGTATGTACATTTTTAAAAGACGTAATGCTATTTAGCACTTTACTACAGTATAGTATAAATATACTTTTTTATGCACTGGAAAACCAAAAAAATTCCTGTGACATGCTTTATTCTGATACTCACTTTATTTCAGTGGTCTAGAACCGTATTTGCAATATCTCTGAGCTATGCCTGTATTTATTAGGTATGCTTTTATGTGACCCAAGTAAGTTATAAGATGACCAACTCTGCTACTAAATACCTTTCTTTTCTTTAGATACCTCCAAATTGTGGACTGAAGCATCTGTGTTTTTCCAACTTGGAGATAAAATAATTGTTTTAAATTGAGGCATATATGTATACTGTAAGGTATATTAGTCTTAGGTATACTACTCAGTGAATATTTTCATAGATATATACCTATATAATCACCATGCAGATGCAAGTATACCATATTCCCAACCCACCAGAAGAAATCTTTATTCACCCTTTGAGTCATTACTGCCTTCTATAGGTAACCACTGTTCTGACTTCTTTTTCCATCAATTTATTTTCTCTTGTTTTGACTTGTATATTTCTGATTTCTATTTTAAAAATTCAAAAAAGACCAAATTTATTTATTTATTTATTTATTTATGGTTTGTTATCTTTTTTATCTGGCTTCATTTTCAGAAAACAACTCCCACAAGATTCACCCACATTATTACATTATCGCCAGTTTGTTGTGTTTCAGGTCTGTGTAATGTTCAGTAGTTTAAATGGACCACACTTTTTTTATTCATTCTCTAGTTTATGGACATTTGGATTATTTTTATTTTAGGGGAGTACTTATGAATAAAGCTTGTGTGAACATTTTTATACATCATTTTGGTAGATGTGTTAATTTTGTTGGCTATATACAAGGAGTGGGTTTACTGAGTCATAGGGTAGGTATATATTTTTAAAAAATAATTATTTTATTTTACTTTTTTAAGTTCTGTGGTACATATGCAGGATGTGCAGGTTTGTTATGTAGTTAACAAGGTGCTGGGTTTATAGCTGTGAGCCACCATGCCTGGAAACTTTTCACTTTTAGATAGGTGATCTAGAATTAATTTTGTTTTTTTGTTCATGGTATACAATTGGGATTAAGGGTTTTTTTTTTTTTTTCTCTTTTTTTCTTACTGATTTACAGTGCTGTAGTGCAATTAATTGAAAAAATTGTCTTTTTCCTTCAGATTTGCAGTGGTCTTTTTCACAAACTAAGTGACTGTTTATATGTGGATCTGTTTTTGGACTCTGTCCCATTGGTCTATTTATCCATTCCTTGGTTGTTGTCATACTATACAATATATAAATCTTGAAGTCTAGTAGTGTCAGTTCTCAACTTTGTTCTTCTTAAAGATTGCCTTGGCTAGTCTAGGACCTTTGCATATCTATATAATTTTAGGAACCTCAGGTCAATTTCCACAAAAAAACTTAATGGGATTTTGATTTGGTTTGCATTGTATCTATAGATTAATTTGGGGAAAACTGGCCTTGTAGCAATATTGAGTCTTTCGAACACTGAACATGTTATATTTCTCCATTTATTTGCATCTTAAATTTTTTTTTTCGATTTTTAGTTTTCAGTTTTAGGTGTCTTTATTCATTGGTATTTTATTTTCTCATGTTATTGTATAAGTGATGTTTCGTAAATTTTATTTTCCATTTTGTTATTATTATGTAGAAATAGAAAAATCTTGAGCTTGTATCAAACAACCTTACTAAATTTGCTTATTCATTGTCATTGGTATATAATTATATTATCTGTAAATAAAGACTGTTTTATTTCTTTTTGATCTTTATACTTTCTCACCCTTTTATTGCCTATTTTCCTGACTAGACCCTTCAGTATAATGTTGAATAAAAGTTATGATAGTGGACAATCTTCTTTTCTCTTTAACCTTGGGGGAAGTGTTGAACGTTTTACCAATCTAATAAATAGATTGGTATTAGCTGTAGGTTTGTGTGTATGTGTGTGTGTATTATTATTATCATTATTATTATTTTTGGTAATAGTTACCTTTTATCAGATTAAGGAAGTTCCCTTCCATTCGTAGGTTACTAAGAGGTTTTTTTTTAAAATGATAAATGAATGTTAAATTCTATCAAATACTTTTAATGCATCTATTGAGATGATCCTAGAATTTATCTCCATAATTTTGTTAATGTAGTGAATTACTTTTTTAAAAAAATTTAATTTCTTTTTTATTTTTAATTTTTTGCCAATTTACAATTTATTTATTTGTTTTAATTTTTTTTATTATACTTTAAGTTCTGGGGTACATGGGCAGAACATGCAGGTTTGTTACATAGACATGCATGTGCCGTGGTGGTTTGCTGCATCCGTCCCCCTGTCATTTACATTAGGTATTTCTCCTGTTAGCCCTTCTTAATCCCCCCACCCCCTGCTGTCACTCCTCTAGCCTCCCCAACCTGCAATAAGCCCTGGTGTGTGATGTTCCCTCCCCTGTGTCCATGTGTTCTCATTGTTCAACATCCACTTATGAGTGAGAATATGTGGCGTTTGCTTTTCTGTTCTTGTGTCAGTTTGCTGAGGATGATGATTTCCAGCTTCATCCATGTCCCTGCAAAGGACATGAACTCATCCATTTTTATGGCTGCATAATATTCCATGGTGTATATGCGCCACATTTTCTTTATCCAGTCTATCCTTGATGGGCATTTGGGTTGGTTCCTAGTCTTTGCTATTGTAAACAGTGTGACAGTAAACATACATGTGCATGTGTCTTTATAATTGAATGTTTTATAATTCTTTAGGTGTATACCCAGTAATGGGATTACTGGGTCAAATGGTATTTCTATTTCTTGATCCATGAGGAATTGCCACACTGTCTTCCACAATGGTTGCACAAATTTACACTCCCACCAACAGTGTAAAAGCATTCCTTTTTCTCCACATCCTCTCCAGCATCTGTTGTCTGCAGATTTTTAAATTATCATTGTTGTAACTGGCATGAGGTGCTACCTCAACGTGGTTTTGATTTGCATTTCTCTAATGACCAGTGATGATGAGCTTTTTTTTCATATGTTTGTTGGCTGCATAAATGTCTTCTTTTGAGAAGTGTCTGTTCATGTCCTTTGTCCACTTTTGGGTGGGGTTTTTTGCTTTTTTCTTGTAAATTTGTTTAAGTTCTTTATAGATTCTGATTATTAGCCCTTTGTCGCATGGATAGATTGCAAAAAATTTTTCCCATTCTGTTGGTTGCTGGTTTACTCTAATGATAGTTTCTTTTGCTGTGCAGAAGCTCTTATGTTTAATTAGATCCCATTTGTCTATTTTGGCTTTTGTTGCCAATGCTTTTGGTGTTTTAGTCATGAAGTCCTTGCCTATGCCTATGTCCTTAATCGTATTGCCTATGTTTTTTTCTAGGGTTTTTATGGTGTTAGGTCTTATGTTTAAATCTTTAATCCATCTGGAGTTAATTTTTGTATAAGATGTAAGGAAGGGATCTAGTTTCAGCTTTCTGCATATGGCTAGCCAGTTTTCCCAACACCATTTATTAAATAAGGAATCCTTTTCCCATTGCTTGTTTCAGGTTTGTCAAAGATCAGATGGTTGTAGATGTGTGTCATTATTTCTGAGGCCTCTGTTCTGTTCCATTGGTCTATATCTCTGTTTTGATACCAGTACCTTGCTGTTTTGATTACTATAGCTTTGTAGTATAGTTTGATGTCAGGTAGCATGATGCCTCCAGCTTTGTTCTTTTTGCTTAAGATTGTCTTGGCTAGGAGGGCTCTTTTTTGGTTCCATATGAAGTTTAAGGTGTTTTTTCCCAATTAATGTGAAGAAGCTCAATTTCTTTTTTAAAGATCTGTCTCATTATGTTGCTCAAGCTGAAGTGTTGGCTATTCACAGATGCAATTGTGGTGCACTACAGCTTTGAGCTCCTGGTCTCAAGTGATTCTCCTGTCTCAGCCTCCCAAGTAGTTGGGACTCCAGGCTCACACCACTGTGCCTGTATATTGCTTTGGTTTATTTTTTGAATGTTGAACCAACATTGTGTTCTTGAAATAAACCCCATTTGATTATGTATATTATCCTTGTATATTGCTGGATTTACCTTGCTAAATTGTTACTATTTTTATTTTTTAACGTTTTCCTCTGTGTTCATGGGAGATGTTAGCCTGTAATTTTCTTATCTTGTGTCCATATCTTGTATTTGTATTATTAGATTAATGCTGGCCTCACACAGTGACCTAGGAAGTTTTTTCCTCTCTGATTATTGACTGGAAAAATAGTATAAAGTTAATTTCTGTTACTTTTAATCTGTATGGTAATTTCTTTTTCTCTTTTTAAAATTTGTGAAATAGTCATCAAAATAGAGTAATCTTTTGCAGCTGAAGAAACTGAAGCTTATAGAATTTAAGTACCATTAAGTAGCTGGTGGTTACTGCTCTGTATTAAAAACCAATTCTGTTTTATTTCAAAGTCTTTGCTATACAGTATACATGGAGGAAAATGACTGACCAGGTGATCATATGGGGATCTTAAGAAATACTAGAGGTCCTTCTTTTGGAAGCTTGGAAACTTCTTTTAAAAACTTTCTTCTGGTTGGTCTAAGAAGGGCACTCTTGATGAATGCTTCTTAGCTATTTGTGAGGGTTGTGGCTTAAAGTAGCTAAGCTTTATAATTCTGTTGCCTCTGTCAAATGAAAAGTCCATCCGTTCTAAAACTGAACAAATCAGTTTTATTTCTGTGTGGGAATAAATGGTTACTTGGAATTTACTGGGATTTTTCTTTTTCCAAATCCACATAATATTGGCAACAGTTTTTTTGGCTTTCATGTTAAGGTATTTCCAACAATGATTCTTTACAGTATATGATAGGTTAAGGGATTCCATTAATCATATACTGATAGGTCTAAAGATGACAGGAAAACTTCATACAAGGGAAATATAAGGGAAGTCTTAAGACAAATCTAGTACCTTATTTTCCCAAAGTCCAAACATTCTTATCGAAGAACATTTCTTATATAAGAAAGTGTTTAACTTCTATTTCATGTGGAAACATCTTTCCTTCCTTTAAGTGATATAGAATACTTGAAAAACTATTCCTTGTTTTCATTCTCAAATAATTTAGGCTTTCTAACAGTTGTTTACTAATGACTTCTTATTCTGTAGCTATTTATATTTTTTTCTTGAGGATTTTATTGGAAATGTTTGGCTTCTATACGAATTTTCAGCAAGCTTTGATGTTTAGTCACTAAAATTTATACTGTGCCAACGATATTATTTTATTTGCTTGATATGATAAACCTCAATAAGTTTGTCTCATGTCCAGTTACTTAATTAGAACATCTGGCTCCCTTTGAAACAATTTCTCATTTTTAAACAACAAGTGGTAGTGAAACCTGCAAAAGAATAATGTTAGAGAAAATAGTACTTTTTAGCTGAAAAATGTTCTGTGTTAATAAATTTTAGAGTTAGAAACTTCTTCAAGAGATGAGTTAATCCTTTTGGGACTTTTGAAATTGCTATCTCAGTGGGAATATTTTCTTGACAAATAGAGTATTGAGTACTTTTAAAGGTCTTTTATTAATTATATATGGCCCCAACAGTAGAGGTTTGAGTTTAGTTTAAAGAAATAGATATTATTTTTATCCATGGTCACCTTAAAAATTAGAGTTAAAGTATTAGCCTGCTGGTCTTTTTCCTTCTCTTTAGTTCTGCTAGTAATAGTAGACTTTATTTGTGATTATGTAGGTTGAATTGGTTAACATGTGGCTGCTAATATTTAGTAAGGTTAATTTTTAGTATGACAATTAAGAGTTATTTTAGTTTTTATATAAAGTGAAACTATGTATGAATAGACTTGGTAGTTATTATTTCTGCTGAATAATAAAAGTCTACTATTTGGGGCCGGGCGCGGTGGCTCAAGCCTGTAATCCCAGCACTGTGGGAGGCCGAGGCGGGTGGATCACGAGGTCAAGAGATCGAGACCATCCTGGTCAACATGGTGAAACCCCGTCTCTACTAA